AGGCTAGCTCTAGTCTTGTTTTTATAGATCGTGAAGTTGTGAGCTTTTTTGATTTTGCTGCAAATTGTAAGTTAAGTTACTGCTTAAGATTATTTACCGAACCGGGCTTGTAAAAATGACCGCAACAAGAAAAAACTGAAGCATTGTTCATGGGGATTTTGAAGTCTTCCTTTAGAAAATAATATATAAACACTTGATGTAGAAAATAATAACCTATTTCAAGGTTTAGGCTGAAGAATTTCCTGTATCATGAGGGCCCTCAAATTAGCAAATTTACGGATTAGTGCAGTCATTCAGGCAGCAGACTGCATGATTCCCTGTGTCGTGAATGCCGAAGGGCCGTTCTTCCCGATATCACAGTTTTAAAGCAAAATAGGGTTTATTTGACAGCTTCGATCCTCACAGTACAACGGCTCGCTCACACACTACACAAAATCGTGACTTTCTTGAATCTATAAGCTTTAGATTTTAATGCGATCTGTCATCAAGTTCTCTGTCGCTCTGACAGACGAGTGAAATTATTAATAACAAAATCAAAGGAATAAAATCACGCCATCTCACAATCACGCTACACTCTTGCTTCATAACACTCTCCCCCTGTTCATCGCGAATAGTGATGAACAATTCGATTTTTCTAATCATAGTTGCAATGTCTCTAATAGAAATGTTCAAAGATCAGTAGTCATCATCAGTAAGTTCGGCAGCGTCCTTTATCCTGGCACGTGCTGCCACAGCAGCGTCTCTTGACGGCCTGAAGACTGGTGCTTCAGCGCTGAGGGTGGCTCTCGGCATAGCTGTTGTCCTGTCACAGGACAGCTCCATTGGATAAAGGTGTTGGACAGGTCTCTCCAGATAACATCTTCCCGCTCGCAGTTTAGCCCCTCTGACAACTCCGTCTCGTCCAGTAATCAGCTCTTCGACTTTTCCTAGCTTCCACAATCCGCGGTTCTTTTCTTCGCCTTTAATGATGACAACATCTCCCTTAGCTAGGGCCACCTTACTTCCTTTGTGCTTTAAATTGTGCTGCTCACGCAAGCCTCGTAGGTATTCTGAAGACCGCCTCCCCCATAGTACGTCTTTACATTTCTTCAGGTACCGTGCACGCTTTCTCAGGTCTTGGTTCTCCAACTGATGTCTCTGGGTTTCGGGCAATAGATTCGGGCGGCCAAACTGCAACAGGTTGGGGGTCAATATGGGTAATTGAATGTCCTCTTCAACGTAGCTCAGCGGGCGGTTATTCATGGTAACTTCAACGTCCAGAAGAACATCCTGTAGCTCGTTCCAGGTAAGCATACCGTTTCCCACTGTCTTGTTAAAGGCTCTTTTGACAAGACCAACCATCCTCTCAAATTGACCTCCCCACCAGGGTGCTCTGGACAGGTTGAACTGCCACTTGACGTCGACTTTGGCTAGGAAGTTATGCAGGCGCTCATCTTTCATCACGTTTCTCAGTCACTTCGCTGCTGCCACGAATGATTTACCGTTATCGGAATAGATTTTCTATGGACGGCCCTTTCTGGCGATCAGGCGCTTAAGGGTGCTGATGAACTCGTTAGTCTCCAAGGTTTTGGTAAACTCTAGGTAAAGTGCTCGTGTCAGGCTACAGGCGTACGGGACAATATAGGCTTTCCCTTCTCTGGTTTTGCTTGTGCGGTACTTGATGGGACCGGCGTAGTCAACACCAACTACTTGAAATGGTGAATTTCCTTCAGTGCGGTCACGAGGTAAATTTCCTTGAGGTGGATTGGCGAACGCAACGATCTGAAACCGTTTGCATCCATAACATTGCTTGATTACTCGTTTAATAAGCTTGCGCAACCTTGGTATCCAATGGGACTCTCGCACTTTGGTCATAGTTAGTCCTACTCCCCCATGAAGAGTAATCTCATGAGCGTGTTGTACGAACTTCAGGGTGTAGAGAGCACTATCAGGGAGATAGACGGGATAGTTTCCCTGGATTCTTCCACGGCACTCGAGAACCTCCTTTCGGTTTGGCTGCAGGTTAAGTCTTAACTGGTCTTCCTGGAATTGATCAGATCCCTTCCACTGTTTTTGAGTCTTCTCCCAGAACAACCTCTGCTTGTTAATTTCCTCGGTAGTCAATGGACCTTTGATTCTCTGATTTCTTGGGGATTTGCTGTTGCGCAGGAATCGTGCGACCCACGCCCCCACTCTCAATGTGCGCCAAAGGGATGATCTTAGTATCCGTTCGTCCATAACATCGTTTCTTTCTACTGCTAAGGCAAAAATCTGCTTGGAGGCTTTCGCTTTGCGTTAGATTCTAGGTTTGCAACCGTTATGATGTCCGGCGGCCAGCTGTCTTGTTCCTTCAACCATGTTGGACCATTCCACCACAACGAGTTATCTTCCTTTACTAGTCCTCCTCTACTTGCTAAGTCTGAAGGGTTTTCTTGGCTCGGTACATGCCTCCATGTGATTTCAGTTTTCTCTCTGATCTTGCGGACGCGGTTGCTGACAAACTGCTTATATTCCCCGGAGCCCCTTATCCAGTGTAGGGCGACACTACTGTCTAGCCATGCGTACAAGGACTTAACTAGAAACCCGATCAGCGCATCTCGTACATTAGTTAGCAAGTTAGCCGCCAAATGACCAGCCACTAACTCAAGTCTGGGGATAGTGAGACCTTCTTTGGCGAGACGTGCCTTCGCTGCGACGAGTCCCTGCGTCACCGCTGAATGTTGCTGGACCACTGCATAAACAGCTGCTGCTAATACCTGTCCACTTGCATCGCCAAAGGCATGAAGAGTGATTTCACGGATTTCTTCTCCAGCTACAGCTAAGGACCTGGGCACTTCAACTTGATCAGGCAGGTTATTTTCCCACTTGCTGCACCTCTTTGCGATTTGTAATTGAATCTCTGCGTCCCACGCGGTCTTTTCCTTGCATATATCGCGATAAACAATCTTTCCTTGTAGGGTTACAGGCGCAGCAAGACCGATGGGGTGGTAGATCTTCGCAATTTTGCAAAGCACACCTCTTTTGGTAGGGTCAGTAATCTCTGTAGGGAAGGTTACAGCTATTTTGTCATCTTCTTTATTCCATCGCAATCCCAGAAGGCCACACGCGCCTGGTTTCTCTCCTAGCTGTTCTTTAGCGTAAGTAAGCCCAACTTCACTGTCAGTTGCTTCGGTTAATTCTAGCTCTCTAGCGTTTAAGTTCCATTTGTGTAAAGTGAAGGTGGCCTTTGCAAATATTTCTGTTGCAGTCTTCTTGACTTGTTGCGCCTTTTCAACTGTAGGACCGCCTGTCAGTAGGTCATCCACGTACAATCCCCTCTGAATCTCTGGTACTGTCTCAGGATAATCCGGCTTACAAATTTCGAGGTGATGCTGAATGACGCCTCCAAGAGGAAAGGGTGATGGGCCCAGACCAAACAAGGCACGCGTAAAACGCAGCGTACGTACTTTCTCGGGATTCTCTCTGTCAATCCAATGAAATCTCAAGGCGTCTCTGTCTTCTTCACGGATGCGCACTTGAAGAAACGCCTTTCTAATGTCTCCTACTATTGCTACTGCATGAAATCTTCCGCGGACCAGCACTCTCCAAATCTGGTTTTGTAAGGGCGGTCCTGTCTCTAGACACTCGTTAAGGGAAGGAGCTGTATCCTTGGCTCTAGCAGAGGCATCGTAAACAATACGCATCTTCGTGGTTGCTGCATTCTCTCTAATTAAAAAGTAAAAGGGTTGCAAGGCGTTTGAGGCTACCCAACTTATTGTCTGGCAAGGGGGGATGGTTTCCTTTCCTTGGGAGAGCTGTTTCGTACCACCCCTCTGGACTGCGTTTTAGTTGTTCAAGGAACTCCTGGTGCACGACTCTCTGGTCAACAATGGGCGTGTCTTCCAACCCAAGGACATCCAAGCGGCACAATTCTTCATAGTCGGCGGCTGATGTCTGTTTGAGGAATATGTTTTCAATATCCACCTCAGCACCAGAAGACATTATTGTCCAGCCGAACCTGGTTTGTTCAGCAATGGGCTCTCCAATTTCTCCTACTCGTTGATAACCAGCCATCTTGATTTTTGTGTACTCATTAGCGCCAAGTATAACATGGATGGGGAGAATTTTCTTAGTGTCAGCTTCTTCCATTTGCACTCCCTTAAGATGTGAATAACGTTTCAGCATTTCTGGATAGTTAGGGTTCTCTAGCGATAAAAGTTCTCGTTGTTCAATCTTCGTAGCGCAAATTGGCAGCGTAAACCTTCCAGTAGCGCCAGTATCGAGCAATGCGCGGCATTTGACTCCGTTGACTTTAACAACGACGACTGGATGGCAAACTTTCTCCCCCACGTGTGCGGCTGTCATTGCTGTCCCCTCACTTGATAGTTGGCTATTTCGGTCGCAGATTGAGGTGTGGTGCCTCTGCTTGCAATTCGCGCAGTTTCCTCTGCTCCGACAATTGGTTGCTCTATACGGCCCAGTACAATTGAAGCACAGCCTTTTCTCCTGCAGATATTTCCTACGATCTTCAACACTAGTAATGGCGGTACAATCTTTAGCTTTGTGCGATACTCCACAGCAGTAAACACAACCACGTGTCGCATTTCCGTTGCGTTCCTCCACATGAAAACTTCTTAAGGTGTCGCGTGACCTCACATTTTCTCGGGGATGGATTTCCTTCCATTCACGAAGCGCGTTAAGCAATTGCGTGAAATTCCACGACTGCCATTCTGGGTGACCCTGTACTAATTCAGATTTAATTCCGGGCAATTTATTCAAAATACCACGCACCAATGCCACGCATTCGGAGGTTTTTCCTAATGTTTCGAGCGACTGAACATTGTAGAGCAAAGCTTCATAGAAGTCGTGTACTTTGGCCGGTTGAGTTCCGGAAATGAATGGAAGCGCAAGAATGTTTTCAATATATGCGTTCACGATCTCGCTCATCTTCCCATAATTACTCTTCAAAATACTTTTTGCGCGCTCATATCCTTCTGTAGTGAAGGGAAGGCCATCTATTCCTTTACGAACGCGTGGCTCTACTAGCTCCTTGAGATAGGCAAATTTCGTGACTGCTGGTGGATCCGTCTTGCCAATCTCCGCCTCAAATTTGTTGCAAAATGCCAGATGACAAGCTTCGGAAGTTTGACATTCTGTTTACTCGGAGAGGCAACCTTTTCCTTTTCGAACACTGCCTTCTGCTCCAGTTGCTGTCTTTCGAACTTTAATTGTTCCTCACGCTGGCGGGCCAACAGGGTCTCCTTCGTTTCTCTTTCTTCATTCTCCGCTTCAGCCACCATTCGTTTCACACGCTCTTCGAGTAAGGTGATCTTGGTATCTGCGGCGTCGATTTTCAACTCAGATTCTTTCCCCCATTCTTTAACTTCGTCTGAGGCCTCCCCACCTTCAAGCTTGGCTTGTTCGACCTCTCTCTTTATTTCTTCCGCGCCGATAACAATGCTCTGTAAAGCTTCTTTGTGTCGACGAATTTTCTCGGTGATCCCGGTACTAAAAATACCCTCTGTCTTCTCTTGGGTGAGCTCCAAAAGCTGTAGTTTTGCTTTCAGTTTTCCGATAAGCGTCTCCATTATTCTCTCTGTCCCGTCGGAGGTGCCACTTTGTCGTGAATGCCGAAGGGCCGTTCTTCACGATATCACAGTTTTAAAGCAAAATAGGGTTTATTTGACAGCTTCGATCCTCACAGTACAACGGCTCGCTCACACACTACACAAAATCGTGACTTTCTTGAATCTATAAGCTTTAGATTTTAATGCGATCTGTCATCAAGTTCTCTGTCGCTCTGACAGACGAGTGAAACTATTAATAACAAAATCAAAGGAATAAAATCACGCCATCTCACAATCACGCTACACTCTTGCTTCATAACACTCTTCCCCTTAAGGTGGCCCTAGCTAAGGGAGATGTTGTCATCATTAAAGGCGAAGAAAAGAACCGTGGATTGTGGAAGCTAGGAATAGTCGAAGAGCTGATTACTGGACGAGACGGAGTTGTCAGAGGGGCTAAACTGCGAGCGGGAAGATGTTATCTGGAGAGACCTGTCCAACACCTTTATCCAATGGAGCTGTCCTGTGACAGGACAACAGCTATGCCGAGAGCCACCCTCAGCGCTGAAGCACCAGTCTTCAGGCCGTCAAGAGACGCTGCTGTGGCAGCACGTGCCAGGATAAAGGACGCTGCCGAACTTACTGATGATGACTACTGATCTTTGAACATTTCTATTAGAGACATTGCAACTATGATTAGAAAAATCGAATTGTTCATCACTATTCGCGATGAACAGGGGGAGAGTGTTATGAAGCAAGAGTGTAGCGTGATTGTGAGATGGCGTGATTTTATTCCTTTGATTTTGTTATTAATAGTTTCACTCGTCTGTCAGAGCGACAGAGAACTTGATGACAGATCGCATTAAAATCTAAAGCTTATAGATTCAAGAAAGTCACGATTTTGTGTAGTGTGTGAGCGAGCCGTTGTACTGTGAGGATCGAAGCTGTCAAATAAACCCTATTTTGCTTTAAAACTGTGATATCGGGAAGAACGGCCCTTCGGCATTCACGACACCTGAAAGTGGCTAAGAATGATAATGTGGAAATTCAATGTGGATGTGTTTTGCTTTTGATTTGGAAGATGATGCTGTTGGACTTTTTTGGATCAAAATTCTGCAAGAAATGTGCGCACAGTTTAGCCTGCTTTCAATTTTTTATTTGGTCAACTCTCTATGGACACCTCTGGGATCAGAAAAAAGAGTCTGTCTTAAAGAGGTCCGTCTTTTAGAGAATCATATAAAGGAAGTAGAGCAAAGTAGGGACCAGCTTGAGTTGTCCAATTTATGGTGTAGCAAGATGTCCGTCAAGGGATTTTGTATTTTAAAATTTAGCATGAGAGCTACAGTACTCCTGAACTCCCTATCATGCTGAATTTCAATATATACAAATGTAGAAAGAGGTCTTTTTGTGCATGTGAGGGCACATATGTCCCTAGACTAAGTTTCAAATACTTTCAATTAATGTAGTTTCACGTTTTTGCATTTCTGTATTCAGCCCATCGTTAACTGTGTTTGTTGTCACTTAGTCTTCTGTCACTGTTTCAAGGCAAGGTTGCTGATTAGAATTTTGCCCTATCAGAGCCTCTAGAAGGTGGGCTACTTCAATAGTACAGTTAAAGTGTTAACCTGCAAAGAAGTGTTGATACCAGTGGGGTTAATTTTTTCATACTCACACATTGAATATGTTGTGGCCCGCTTACGGCAGCACACAGAAACTTTTGGTATACAGTAAAACCCCATGACTCAGAACCTGGATTTTAAGAGCCTGTTAGGCGAAAATGAGCCAGTTAAGCCCCCCTTCTACACTGTATATAAGAACCTGTTTAGCCTAAAATTTGAAACAGGTTCTTATCTAATTATGGAAAAAATTCTGTACACTTAGGTAAATATCAGATAAGTCAGCATTCAAAGTTTTCTTTGGAGACATAGGTGCTTTGTCACTCCAACTGAAATTTATATGCCAATGAGGTCAATGCTTTAGCTCCTTATCTGGTCATTTTTACATAACTTCTAATTTGGTATGCAATTTTTTTTTTCTTGGGAGGGTGTCTGTACAAACTGTCGAGGCCACCACATTGTCACTGCATGACCATTGTATGACATTGCATCTCATGAGAGAGTTAAACATAAACTCATCTGAACATTGAACCCTTTTGAAGGACTTTCGTAACAAGAAAAATGAGTACCATTTTTAAATCGAGGCTGTAACTTTTCAAATTCCACCATTATGAATCAAAGTAAGCCAGTTAGCCATTCTAAGCAGGAAACAATAAGCGTTATTTTCACGCACCCCTGCCCCAATCCCTCTGCCCCCCGAAATAAAGTGTGACAGTACTACGTGACTGATTTGACCTAACCAGAAATTCCAAAAATTATTGTCGTTCTGGGGGTCATAAACCACTATTAATGAGCAGTACATTTCTCAATTCTGGTTCTTAAAACTAACAAAGCAAATTAAATTTAGGTTTCATTTTTGTTTGATATTGCATTTAAAGCCTTTCTAACTGTCCTAGTAAACATATATATAAATTTTTTTTGGACGTGGTGATCTAGAATGAGCAAGGAATGGCATTTCATATGCAAAGCAGAGAATTGCAATAAGACAAAAAGAGACATTGGTCGTCACATTTTAAACGGTTTAAACTTCAACATAAAGCAATGACAAACCTCAATGCAACCCATCCTACCATCGTTTGTAAAATGCACTGAAAAAAAGTGCCAATGATAGCTTGAGAGACATCTTTATTCAATGGATGTACACATACACACACACCCACACTAGAGCTCTACACAAAGAGAGAGATTTGCAATCACGTTTTGGAAGGGAAAAACTCATCAAAAGGTTTAAACTTCAACAAAAATTAAACTAAGAAAAACCACAAAGGGTACTCATCATAGCATCTTTTGAAGGAGACGATGAAAAAGCATATTACGCCAGCTTCAAACACATCTTCATTTAATCGCTGCCTTTGCTTAATGTGCTTTATAGTTAATAATTTATAGTGCTTATCACCATAAGTAAAAACAATGAAAATTTTCGGGGAGTTTTCCCTTACATTTGTCTCATAGGTATTGATCTTTAATTAAAGGTCTAGGGTCAGGATTTGGAGAGCAAAACAACACAGCCCCCCACCATGAAGTCCCAGGAACACCCCCCCATTTGTCAGTAGTTAATAATAATTATTAACTGCTAACTTAGTATTGATAGCGTACATTTTGTGAACAGAAAATCCGGGAGGGGAACTGCCTTACATTTGCCTAATAGGTATTGGTGTGAAATAGGTCTAGGGTCAGGATTTGAAGAGTAGACTTCACACCCCCATCAGGAATTGCTAGAAATACACACGGGAGAAAAAATCGAAGGCATTTTATGAACTGGGCCCGCCTTTTAGCAAGCCAGTTAATAATAAGCTGACCCACCATATAACTCTTAGCTGTATTGCATTTTTTTCTTAAGAACCTAAATAGCCTTAACTTGTGCTAACTACATGTATATCTACCATTTCAATAAGAACCTTTTTAGGTTAACTCTGTCTCGAATATAAAACGCAAAAAAATTGTCGACAAAATTTGAAAGGTGCTAAAACCGACACCAGAAGCCTATTAGTATTACCCTCTAAAGCTTTCTGTAAACTAGCTTACAAATCATGTCTAACCCAAAGCACCTATATCCCTTGTAAAAGTTAGGAAAAATGCCTGGCAGACTGCAACTCTTGTGACTTTGACACGATTGATTGGGATAAGTCATATACCCTTGCTTTTCTATATACCAACGAATCTAAATAACGTGTTTTTCAATTTAAATTTCTGCATAGAAAATTGGCAACAAACTGTTTCCTTTTAAAAACTGGAATCAAATCTAATGATCAATGCAGTTTCTGCAAAGAAAGCTCGGAAACTCTTTTGCACCTCTTTTGAGAATGTCCTTTGGTTAAACCCTTTTGGAATGAGATTGGTAACTGGATGAAAAACAGCTCTTGCTTTCTTAACCAAGAATTCTCCGTTTTGTCTTGCATAGGCCTAGTGAACGATACTACAAAACTGCTTTTCCATCATGCACTTTTAATCGCGAGGTATCACATCTATTTCTCCAAACAAAAAGGCCTTAACCCTTCATGGGAACTCTTTTTTCAAACCACTCTAAATTGTCTTGATTATGAAAGATGTTATGCCATTAAAACTGGGATTTTAAGAAAATTCAATGCAAAATGGGGAGCATTTATCTGGGAAAATGATCTTTACTCTTTATTTCCTTTGTCGAGATGTGCAGAGAACAGCAATCACGCTAACTTTCTAGAGGCTCTTTTGATGTTCCTAGGCGGATAATCAGTAAATGTGCGTGCGCGTGAGTGTAATGCAAGAACTACTTAATAAGTTACTTTGGCTACTCTGTATTATAGATCTGGATTGTTTAAGTAATTACTGTATAGTAGCAATGTAATCATTTATTTATATGCTTTGTAAGTAATGTAAATCAGTGATGCAAATAAATGAGTTTAAAAAAAACTTGGAAAAATCTAGGTTCTTATTCGTGGTGGCAGTATACATTGCCATTCTTAGAGTTACCAATGTTGTGAACTGTCATGCTGTACATACAACGTACAGCCAGCTCCTATATCCATCCAAGACATGTGATCCTTGAGTCACTATGTATCAGATAAACAAGGGTAAACAAGGTGTATTATGGGTAGTGTGAAAGAGGCAGATAAAAAGGACTTTGATATCAAACAATTATTTTTAAGTAATGTACAAATGTAGCAACTGTGCAGGCTGAAGATCGACCTTACACAAATGTACTCATACAGTGTACAACAAAAATCTACACTGCTTGGTTTGGTCTTTTTTATGAAGAAAAGTGCATTGCTAGAGCACCACGTTTACAGCTGAATTATGTTAAAATGTAGATTTTTCAATAGGTGAGTTAGATAGAATCCACTCTCCTTCTCTGGTTAATATCCAGTATTAAATTCCTTTATTATTATCAGCTTTTTCTGAAAAAATTTGTGAAATTTTGTTTCTGTAACC